GAAATACGCTATATTGTCTATATATATTGTCATATTTCTTGTAATGGCTGAGGAAATGTGTCTCAGTGCTCGTGCATATTTGAATGTCTGGTTATGTTCGAAACTAAAATTATTTTATGTACCATCACAATCTGTAGCACGTTCTAGAGAGAGGGAAACCATCCGAGCGGAGACAGATTATAGAACGATTTTCTGGGAATATCGTGCGGATGAGTCAGCATAAGTACGCATCAAATGTTGTTGAAAAATGTCTGGAATTTGGTGATGCTGCCGAACGAGAACTCTTGATCGAGGAGATTCTCATGCAGTCCGAGGATAATGACAATCTACTCGTAAGCCTTTTTTTTTGTCGAGAGAAAAATGAAAAATCCAATGGTTGATATATAGTTGTTTGTAGTTCGCACTCAAGCCTTATCCACTAATCGAAGTATTAAAAAAAATGCTTTTTAGGGAATGATGAAGGACCAGTTTGCAAATTATGTGGTCCAGAAAATTCTTGATATTAGCAATGAGGACCAGAGAGAAAGGCTGCTCGGTAGAATCCAGCTTCATATCGTTGCCTTAAGGAAATACACGTACGGAAAACACATTGTTGCTCGATTTGAACAGCTAACTTCTGGCCAAGGTATTGCAAAATTTTTCCCTCTCTAATCGCCCGACATTACTTTAATAAAAAACCGGGTGAAAATTATCGATTGATGTGCAGATGATTATGAAGCTTCTGAGGCTTTCTGTGGCGACTGAAACTCCGTGGGTGTTCGACTTTTGAGATGTTGGCAGTAATATATATGTATGCTAGTGTAACTTGTAGAAATTATTTATTTTTTGAGTGGTTGTATAAGTTAATTATATATTGTGACATTTTGTACTCAAAAGGAAAAATGATTTATGATTATGGGAATTTGTTGATTGCTTTGAATGGTTAAAAAAAAAAATGCTTTCTGAATGGATTGTGTATTATTTGTAGCTTGATGACTTGTTGGATATAAAACTAAATTGTCTGTGTGTGTTATTTAATCCAACGGTGAGAAACTCAGGTTGTATGATGAGATCTACCGAAAAGCTGGGATTCAAACCAAATGAAGGTAATTTTCTCGTGTTCTTTTTTTTTTTTTTTTTTAATTTTATATCGAATTTCGGCAGCATTGTTTTTACAAGTAGTTCGATTTTGGATATCGACAATTGTTCTGTTTTTTACGGTGCTAACACTTCTTTTTTTTCGCCCGATGCATGAAATAACTCACATCAAGATGTTAAAAACTAAAAACAAACACATTATCATCAACAGAGTTAAAAAAAAAAAAGAAATTAATCCCACCAAGAACTACAAAATAAGACTATATTCATTCATATATATACAGGAACTGTTTTCTTTTCTTCACAATTGTTATTACATGACATGCATTTATTGATCTTGCAGTACATTTTGCAGGTTACCAACAATTTTCGAAACTCATCCTCGTCGCAAGGGATGCTCAATCCCCCTTGCTGTTCCTAACCATATTCTTCGGCCGATTTATCCATAAGCTCCTTAAACTCAGGAACAGAAAGAATCTTTGTGGGAATGAGGAATCTCCGGCTGTCGGGCCCCACATAAACAGCCACGAATCCTCTCGGGACATGAGTCGAGATCTTCCCATTCTTGCTTTTATGCCTCGAATTATCCGAGGTCAATTGATCATCGGTAAGCAAAAAATGCTTTTCCATGGCTTTGCTCTGTTTATCATGTTTTTTGGAAACTTTCCTCACCATCTTCTTCACCAACTTTCCCGAATCTATCATCATCATCTTCTTCATGCGATTGTTAGAAAACGAGCCGAGTGTTATATTTATCGTCTGCTAATGCTATTTTGTGCAATGCAATTTTTTTTTTTATTTTTTTTCATAGGATGTG